CACGGCAGTTGAAGGACAAGCTAAAAGTTATTGTGTGCGTGTAGTATAAAGGCAGCTACGGCTATTGGGATGAAAAAAGGAAAACCGGTAAACTTCAAAGCAAACGACTTTGAGAAATTTCGAACGTGCACGCTTGATTGAAATATTTAACATCTCATGGCTTTTTATCAATACTGAAAGGCGTTTGGCGTAATTTCAAAAAATATTTATTTACACGTTAAACAAGCATAAAATTAATATAAAAACAAAATCTTTAAAAACTAGGAGAAAGTCGTCCGCTAGTTTATTAATTGATATTGACAGTTTTCAATGGTTCAGTTAATAATCACGAAAATATTTTAGACACTACTAAACAAATATCAGACATCTCAAGATTTAAGTCGTTTAGGACCACGTACTGAGCTCACTTGACAATGGCTGGGGGTAAAAAGACGAACGAACACGTTACACCTATTCATCACAGCTGAAGACGACGGAGATCTCATCATCAATAATTCTCCCTTACACATACACACTCGCCTATAGCACAAAACTCCTGTAGTGAATTTATTTTATAATTGATAAGTTCTATGCAAATACTCTACACCAGTCATGTAATCAACTCGTGCTGACGTACACCCACCAAAACGCTTACTGTTATTGACCGACGTTGTGTTAAGATACGGCCGACAAAGTAATTTATATACTTACTCAGAAAACGCAATAATCTACTCTACATGTCATTCTTGACACATAAATGTTAACCATACAGTCATTTATGTATGAATGTTATCCGTAGATGAGCTTTCTGTTTAACGCCTTAACCACCGCGCGCTAACAAGTTTGCTTACGTTACCATAGAAGTTTTAGAAGAGCAAATTTATACATGAATATAGACTATACAGGATATTTTGTAAGCTTAAGGTTGATATTAAAATTAGAAACAAAAAACATTTAAAAATATAAACGTTAAAATAAAAATCTATGGCTTTTAGTTAACTGTAAAAAGCTTTTATAAATATTATTCAAGCGAATTCATTAGTTACACGTGAATAAGAATACTTTTTAATTTTTTGTGTGTCGGCTATTTTTACATTGAAGACGTTAAATCTATTTTTTTTTTTTTGATATTTAAGCTTATTGATTTTTTAAATCCGTATTACTAAAAAAAAAAACAAATATACTTAGATATTTTTATTTATAGTTGCAATTCTTCTAACTTGTTAAAAGTAGTACAGATATTTTTTACTTTAAACGTTTTTAAAACATACGATTACTCTTCAACAAGCTGTTACATTCGACAAAAGTCTTCATTAAAAAAAGGTTGTCACTAAAACTCGAAATATTCAATATAATTACATGACATGGTTTCCACTGAGTTAATTCATCGAAGAATTAAGTCCTAATGAGTGCACTTATAAAACGTGTGTTCGCGTACTAAGGCTTAGACTGTCTTAACCTCTAAAAACTTTTCTAGAATTTCAATTGGCTCTTACGCGGTTATTGTTATACCGATCAATTATACGTGGGCTTTTTATGTGTCTGGGTGTCTGTCCGCTTTTGTGTCCACTCCACGCGCTTGCTGTCCGAATGATCAGATACATTTTTTTCGAGTAGTCATCGTCCGTATAATGTAAAATAATCCACGGAGGTTCAGAATAAAAAGGTATCCATCTACAGAGGACACATTTACAATAATGCGGTTCTCTGTTATCAAATGTTCGAGCAATAGTCCTGCGTACATTTTTTGTTATGTTTCTTAACAAAACATCTCTCAGAAGATTTCAATGTCTGAGTGAACATGTTCGAGTGCTGTACACGTCAGGGCTCACAATGATACGTTTTTGTAAAACACATTAGTCCGACAATCTCTTCATTTAGGTTTTTTTTCTAATACTCAACGCATTTTTACGCGTTAACTTAAACTAATCATTTTATTATTTTGAACTTGTACCCATATACAAAGTGATTGGTTTACCATAACATTACTTACAGAATAAAAATAATTTACGAAAACGGATCGCCTCGTGTATATTAATAAATTAATCATTTGGTAATGCAGCCGACTAAATAGTTTATTAGTTAAGTCACGAAACTGAACTTAACTAATAAATTGTACAAGAAAAACACACAAAACGGCGTTTTTCTTTTTAAAACCGCATATATGTGTACAAATACGCGTGTATTTGTACGGTAGTTTTCCTTAGTAGCTAACTTATACATTATAGATATTGCAAAACTTATTCTAATTCGCTTCGCATAATAACCGACAAAAGCAAATTTTTAAACTCTTGTATTCCGGCACATAAATAATTCCGAATTACACTAACGAGTACACCAATTTGTTAACATTGAACATGATTTTAATACTGACCGAGTCGCACTTCAACAATCATGTCTTGATATCGCCCATGAACCATAATATTATTGTAATAAACATTATATTATAATCGTGCCAATCATATTACATATTATGTAATATTCTTAGTAACTCTAATTAAAATGCGTGCACGTGGGTAGTTCATTACGATGAAAATACTTACTGAAATTCGCTACATTAACGAATCATAATAATAAGCATTTCCTGCAGTTTAAAACGCCACAGATGTTATCCATGTCGACCATATTACGGACGTGTATCGGGACTTGTGAATAAATTTGCGAGCAGCAGCAAAGGGAAACGGAAACCTATTGACAGAAATAAATTGCTTCTGGTTTGACCATTGCAGAGCGTTTACAACGATTTACTTAGTAGGGTTAGTGTTCTCCGCTGCTTATGAGACCAAAAAAAGTCATGAAAATGCCTCTTCAATTGCAGTCAATAAAACCCAACGTCCATAACGATATATTAATGCGTTTCGTGTAAATGTGTACTGCACTTTATTTCTGGGATGGTGGACCTGTTCGGAGCGCCTCACTAAACGAACGATTGGCTTTTGATAATTGCGCATAATGCTTAACGGGCCCGTCAAAGGTAATTGTCTATGGGCGATACGGTTATCGTGGGGGCAACGTGTCATTAGAAAGCGCACCGATGGATGACTCTCGCGCGAGGCGTCATCGAGACGGAAGGGATGGGCCACAATAAACGTTTTGATGTGCGTAGATATCGGAGGACGTGCGTAAAAACTGATTTTTTTTTTTTCCTATAATTATTAGTATTGTCCCGACGCGGTAAGTATTTATTTTGATTATGACGGTGCGTCGAGGCGTGCCCCGAAAAAACGGGTAAGTACAATGAGCACAAGCCGGCAACATAATACTTGACACGCGAAATTCGTGATACTCGAGTAACCAGTCGTGAATAGGAAAGCATTCACACACAAAAAAATAATACAACAATAAAGTGTTAAAGGAAATGTCTACGACTCGAAAACAATAGACTACCGGGCTTACCCGTTTTTGGGCCGCAAGCCTTGTCGTGCACACGACCAAGACAACCCATTTGAATGTTAACGATTTTTCCTCTAATAACCCATTACTTGAAGAGAAAAAAGTTTCAATAATTTAAAAAACCGTAATATACTACGACATGATTATTGACGATAGTATTCAATTATAACGAAGGAAAATTTTTAAATAATTACTAATACAATGTTTAATTTTGAAAATGGTCAAATAGGAGGGCATTAAGGGGATATATCCTATTTGTTTGACTTTCATTGTTTATACTTAATACCTTGGCAACAAAATTATAAATTGACAAAATTAATATGAAAAAATTATATTACATTTGGGAGAATAATTTTTAAATCTTGGTTATTACGTATAAAATATTGCTTTAAAATACTCTAATTTTAAAATGTGAAATTATAAATATAATCTTATTATAAATAATCATAATATATCAAGGTATAATAATACTTCTAATACAAAATTAAAGCAATGTATACAACATAAATTAAATTACTTCTTTATTACAATTCTTTGGTTTTTAGAAGTTTTTTTTTGTTTTAAAGCATTTTAATAGAATAATTTTTATTTCAAGGAAATTTTACAGATTATTTATTCATATTTTACGTGTCATTTCAATGTTTTTTAAGGTATTTAAGTCGGGGCTCTAGTTATAATTACTATATACGATAAAAAATTTGATGTACTGAACCTTGTAATGGACGGGCCGGACCATTTCTGTAAATTTTTCGATCAGATCGAACCTCAAAATAAAACGCAGATACTGAAATGTATCGACTTTTCTTTTTAATGGCAATATACATAATTAACTAGTTTAAATAATATAAAATTAATCAAGAAAATAAAGGGTATAAAATATTAAGCCCTAATTTTTTTGGTCTTATGTAGTTTATTAAATTATTGTTTTTTAATTTTAATAAACTTATTCATAAAATGAATAAGAAATATTTTAAATACTTTTCACCATTTAATCTGTCACACATTATTTTATTTTATTAGCATCTATTATAATTTAGTTTTGAAATATTCGTTATATTTACTCTTTATAGACCTTAATAACAAAATAATTACTTATTTTTTAACTATTAAGTATATAACAATTAGTAATTTGTTTAGTTAAACATTTTACACGAATTTACCTTAACATTACCTTTGTTAAAAATAATGAAGATATTTATAAGTTTTTAATACAATAACATAAATTATTAAGTTATCATACAAATTTTATGCTCTCAAATTATGCTATTTTGACATTTTTTTAAACATATAAAACTTAAAAATTAATTTTTTACACAATGAAAAAATTAATATATATTATGTTGAAGTTATAAACTAAAAGTCTGACAAGTATTCAAAAAAAAAAAAGTAACGTTAATTATTTACTAGATAAAAAATTGTTGATTTGTCTTATCTTCGTGATTTAATCTGTATGTTTTAAATTATTAACTTTGTAGAAACGAAAATGAAAAACGTTTTACTTCCAATACCTATTCGGGTTAAAATAGTTTTTTTTAAATCTTAACAGCTAAGTAAACGGTTTCTGGTTTTTTATTTATTATACTATTTTCATTTATAAAAATAATTTCTGTACTGTTATAAAGTTCACAAATTTAAACAGCGGCTGTCATTATTCTGCGTTAATATTTAACTATTAACTTATTTGTGGCGCTCTACTTCATACGAAACAGGTGAGTAACATTATTAAATGTACAAATGTCACCAAACTAATGGTGAAATAATCAATAATAATAAAGAAAATTTAATCGAAATCAAAAATTTTATCACAAAAATCTAAATTTGATTCATACTTATGCTTAAATATTAAATCAAAGTTTATTTTTATTTTTAGGTAAAATTATTCTTTAAAACTAAACTTTTCAGTAGTATTGTAAGAAAAACTGTAATTTGTCGCGCCTTCAATCATTTAAATTATACTGTTAAATTTTTTCATTTAACATTTCGTAATCATAACTGTTTATTGAAAATTAAAAATGACCTATTATAATTACATTGTAGTCAGTTTAATAATATTTTGTACAATTACGAACACCGAAACAACGCCTAATACATTAAAAGTTATACGAATCTTAAAAAATCTATTCAAGCATTCTGGATGGCAAAATTTAAATGACGTGAATAGTATAAAATACATGAATGTTGTACATAAATTAAATGATGTTATTCACAAACGAATCGATAGAAATAATTGTGATTCGCGAATTCGATTGGCAACTGTTTATCTGGGCTGTAATTATGCCAAATTTTTAAAAAAAATTATTTTGATACTTCAAAGTTTTCATATTCACTGTAAAGATGTACAAGGTAAACATAATGGAGACGACTGCATTTTAGAACTTCTTAACACAATACACATAATAAGAAAAGAAACGCCCAAGTTAAGAGACGCCATGGATGTATTGGACAGCTTTCGAAATGTGCAACGGAATCATTTTAAAGACACGTTTATTTTAATCCCTATAATAAAATTTTTAGAAAACAGTAAAATTCCTCTTCCTATACAGAATAATATAACAGACACTAGTGAAACACTGGATATATTAAATAACTTAATATTAAAAATTAAAGCAAATGTAGATTCTGACATTTCAAAATATTGTAATATTACTTGTGTGTCTGACGATCTTATGTTACAGCAGCAATATAATATCGAAATCAAAAAAAACAACGAAAATAATGAACGACTATTTTATGAATACTTAAGTAATAAAATAAATGATGAAATTCAGGTTACGATTAAAGAAAAATTTTACGATTTGGGATTCCAATATGACACTAAAACTGGCAAAACGACAATACCAATACATATTGACCGGATCACTGGAGGAAAGATTAGTAAAGGTAGATATTACTAAAGAAAATCATTCAGTAAACTTGAATTATTTAACCAATATAACACAAAATTATTAGTTATGCAATTCATTTTACTTAATATTAATTTATTTTATTTTATAATACGCATATAAATACTTTTATGTGTTATAGTCCATAATAATCTTGGAGTGTATCAAAAGACAGGTGATTTGGTTTCCTTTATAATTATTTAAGCTATACTAATTTATTATAATTCAATTTATTTATAATAAGTATGATTTTATAGAAATATTACTCTTTATTTAGATGTTTCTACGCAGTCAGTAGATAATTCTACTGAAAGTGAATCTAGCGAAGATGATGAACAGGAATTTGACAATGTGAAATTGACAAAAAGTAATCATCAATATAAAAATTAAATATATTATTTACTCTTCTTACCATAATTTTTTAGAGTTAAAACGTATTGCCAAAAATAATGATACTCATTCTTCAAAATTTATTGAATTACCAGAAGACCAAGTTCCTTTTAATAAATATCTTGATTGATTATTGGTTCAAAATTTTTATTAATCAGTTAATTTTTCTAAAATGAAATAATCTAAATATGCTATTAATATATTACAAATTCAAGTTTATTCAGTTTTTTGTGAAAGAGAAATAAATTTAAATACATATCTTTAAACATAAGATTACAGTAAATATAAAATTTTTGAAAATACATTTGTTTTAATTTAAGTATATAAAGATTTTTTTATGTGTAAAAAGCAGAATTGAGATGCTTAAAACATTTTGTTTTCAACTTCATAATTAAAACATCAAATTAATTAATCCGTTTTGTTTAGATCATTTAAAATAATTATATTAAACAACAAACACTTGAACAAATCAAGTTTAAAACATATAAAAAAATGATTAAGAAATGATAATATTTAAAACATTTTAATCCTCTTTAAAACAATTACTGCTAATATTTTAATTAAAAAAAAAAAAAACATTCTTCTCTATCTTAGTAAAATGTGGCCAAACCAGCACTTTTAAAAATGTCCGAATTTTCACATATATGTACTGGATGTTTTTAATGCATAAAATGTAAGGAAAATTTTGGATAAATAATGATATAAGTATTATTTTTGTGTATGAATTTTCGATACTTTATATCAAAATTACTCAACTTGTATGTAAAAGTAACGTGTATATTAAAGTATCATTTTGTCTAATGGAAGTTTTTTAATAATTTCTTTCATTGTGTGTTTCATTTAATAAAAAGTATGTTGTCTTATAACAGGGTTTCTGTGTAATTATAAACCTCACAATTTAGTCCAAATGAAATTATTAGTAATTATTAGTATTATAAGTCTTTTTATAATCCTTAAAATGTTATAACTAAATTTTCTAACTGATCGACTTACTTGTAATTACATTTAAATACTTTAAGATAAAATATAACTCAATCAAAAACTAATAAAAACCAATGTGTTTACACTCATTTTTAATTAAAAATAGTTATTTTATTACGATTTTATGTATTCAATTTCTATTAACATATTTATTTTCTTTGGTATGTTATACACTATTTATGTTTAATTAGAATTATATAAAACTAAATAAAAATATATTATTTATTAAAACGCAAATATAGAAAACTTTAATTGCACAAAGTAAGAATGAAACGGTTATTTAGTGTAATTTTTACACGGCATAATTTTAGTCATTTTGAAATTTTTATACATCATTTAAATAGGAGACATTTAATATAACTCATAATTACAGAAAATAGTCTACTATGAGCAAATATACATTCTTATAGTTAAATTAGTGACATAACATTCACCTTATGTTTCACAATTCTTAAATTGAGACAATAAATCATATACAATAAGAATGTATACATTCTTAAAATAAAATAATAATAAATTTAACGTAATAAAAAATAAGTTATTATTTGTAATATATTAGTATATTTGTATAAATATAAAATTTAAATCAGCTTAAAGTTATTAAATTTATAAATAAAGAAATTCGTTTTAAATTTAAATGTTAATTTTTAATTTCAGTGGTTGGGTATAATATAAATTTGGCTTAAATTTTTTAACGTTTTATATCTTAAATAATTTATTTATCATTTCTTTGGGGGGTTTTACTTTAGGAATTAAGTTTTTACTAGAAATAATTATTTTTTAAGAATATACTGAAAATAGCGTTTATAAATATTTTTAATTTTGTAATTCTTACTTAAGTTAGTAAATAAAGACTACTTTTATAATAAAATATAACAGTAATGTATTACTTTTACTGCTTTTACTTTCACTGATTATTAATTGTTGTAATTTGATGAATACCTTTCAATATGAGACAATTGAAAACATTTTATTCAATTTTTTACTAAAAACATTATCAGAATTATTCAAATATATCATCATTGTTTGTATATAAATAAAATCTGATTAAAATAACAATAAAAATTTAAATATCAATATTCAATACTTGAAGATAAATTTATATTAAACAAATCGTGTGAAAATTCAAGTTTCGTCATTTTTCATGCTGAAGTTGATATGTTGTAACTATGAGTATTTTATCAAATTTTCAACCGAATGACAAGATATCACATCTTGATTATCACAATCAAGCAAATAATGGCTTTAATTACCAATGCTATAAGGGATAATGTTAATCGCAAAAATAATCTTGTACTGATTTACCAAATGTTTTCTACTATGCTACTAATTATTTAAAAAATTCAATTGGTGCGGTCCAAGGCGTATGCAATCGCCTGTTGAGTACAAACCGAAATAGTTTAAGAAGTACTCATTTAAGAAGACCTTATCCTGTTAAGAGTGACATCGGCTCTTTTCACATACAAGTTAAATATATGTAAATTTTTTGAATAACCCTAATTATCGAACTCTGTCCTAGGGACGGGTTGATTAGGGTTGTCATTGTATATATTTCAATACCTCCGGGAAATCGAACAAGTCTCGTTAGACTTGTAACGATATACATCGCAAGTGCGATGTCGCATTAAACATTTTAGGTTGTTGACATTTTGCGACCCGTTAGTTATCGAGTGAACATCCCACGCACGAGCACCAGGTGAATACGTCAACCTGATAAATCATCGAAATTTTTAATTCAGTTCATCGTCAAACCATTCAGCACATTCAATATCGCCGATTATACTTCAACGGATCGGGTGATTTAAATACTCAACAACAACAAAACATAACGGTAGACTGGTGTAATCTGATAAGATATGAAAAGAGATGCAAATTTGTGTACGTTAAAGAATAATAAACACACACATTTTTTCTTTTTGCAGTCGACTCTAAATTCATTTCTCGTCATTTTTTTCTCTGGAAATTTACTTAATATTAGGATTTACTGAATTCCGTACGGATTATTTAATCTTTTGTTTTTAATCGAATATCCGAAACCTTCAATGTATACAAACATTAGGCCCGCCAAAAGAACATCAGACAGAAAAATATTTTCAAAATGATCTCGGATTCACTTGAAATTTCATTAATAAATTGTATTTTACAAAATGTAAATTAAAATTAGTGTAATTAAATTATTCTAACCATAAATTTAAATAATGGCGCATGTTATGCAACTGTCAGAAAGATAATTAAAAACTTATAAATTAATAATTTATTAGTTGTTTATTTTTGTATTTAATAAAAAATTACCTTTTCATGATTAATAATCAGCTTTAATGTAGAGTTCTGTTGTTCTAATAACAATAAAAACTTTCCTATGAGTTAAATACGCAGTAGCTGCGTGACAATTTAATACAGAACGTATAATTATTACAATAAATAATTAATATTACAATACATAATTTACAGATATATTTACAATGAGAAAAATCGCTATGTTAATATCTCGGCAGTTATTGAACTTATTAAAAATTAAAATTTTCAACGCATTACTTACGCAAATTGCTTTATTTTACTAACAATTATTCACACATCAAAACTTCTTCGATCTAATAAGGTTTATGGGTTTTAATTATTCATAGATGTTGCTAATTACATTTAGATTATACATTTTCTTATTAAACTGTGTCTCTTGTAATGTACTCAAATTAGAGCGCAACATTTTACGAAGAAATCGTATTAATTGAATTTCAATCTCGACATTAGCAGAATGGGTTTTTCGAACCTGACAATGCGTAAATGACAGAATCAGAGAAAATAGAAGCCGTTGAAAAAATATAAGTAATAAGCAACCATTTTAAGAAAGAACATAGTAAGCTCTAAGGTGAGGTTTTTTTTACTTGTTGTCCTTTATTGCCACTTGGATTGTCTGCCGCAAATTGCATCCATCTGGATCGTATAATGAAATCGATTTGCGAATACTGGAAAAGTTGGTGTGCGCGTTGAAGTCGAAGAAAAGCAATTTCCATGCAAATGTCATTTCATTTATAGGCCGACGATGGGACGGTTCAGGACAGACAGCGTACGAGCATAGGTGTATTTATTTTATTGTTATTATATATTTTTTTAGGGACAATCAGCTGTAACGAAACGTCCATGGTGAAAATGAAAAACAACTGTTGATGTTATTTTTGGTGCTGTGCGTACCACCGAATTCCAGATGTCGGTCGACGACATATTTGATGGGATTAATTTTATGACCACTTGAGTCAATTAAACTTGTATGGCCACTGTTATTTTGGCATAGATACAATCGTGTCTTATGTTCTCCCGATCGAAGGGCGTGTGATGTATAACAGCAATAATTTTATATATATTTACGCGGTTTATGTATACATTAATATATTTTAGGAGTCAAACTACAATGCTGACCCTCACTGCCATAAAAATCGTTTTTATTATTATTATTGTTCTTGCATAAAGCGACACGTTCAATAATTCGTCTGGGTGTTAGAAAAAAACTCATAAAAGTAAAAGAATATTAATTTTCATAGTTTTTCTCGTAAAAATTAATACAATATTTTTATTGGACTCGCTATAAACTAGTGGAAATTATTGGCAAGCTCTACAAACAGTGAATGATAAACATAACGAGGAACACTCTTACACGTCGATTAATAATTTTATTCGTAGACGAACCGTCACATAAAATCTTTATTATTGAATTACATTTTATTTCAAAAGATGTCCGTATTCTTTTAGCTTGCGACTTGTTTGAACACGCGTCCACATTGGGCTTGACATTACTCTGTTAACGACCGGCGAACATATTAAATGTCTCTTCCAAAAGCTTACTTTGATTAAATCTTATTAAAAAATAAATGTATCTTCTAAGTTGTTAAATACATATTTGATCATATAATGTAACTAAACGAACATTTCCCTTAAATCATTTTTATTGAAAGTACTTATTTTTGTAACTGCACTGCAAATAGGAATTTTAGGATTCAACGTAACCCTATAGTTTTCACGTTAGTGTTTCTTTGGTAAACAATATTACTATTTACCGTTTTATATAAAAAATCATCGATTTTATTATTTTTAAATTTCAATTCGATTGATTAAATTTAAGTTCAATACAATATTAACATTATGTAATGAAACTTTAACGTTGACAATAATGACGTCATGAGTGATCTTGACTTCTATGGAAGGCATTACACTGTTAACTAGCACAATTGTACTCTGTTTTGTGCAGTTGTTTAGTACACAAACATGTAATATACGACCCAATTCAAACTTTTGAGACAAATATTGAAAAAGTTTTAAAAATTACAAACTTAGACAAACTAAAGAAATTAATGTAAATTCAAAGTTTTTTATTTTATTATACATTTGTATTAGAGATTAAATTGACCACCGAGAAATTGATCGAGTTTTTACTATTGAAATGTTCTTTTAGGTAGTTCTGATACAGTTTGTTAGAGTACACAGTTCAAACCATTTACGAGCATTACCTAATCCACAGTACATCGTGGACTAGTGTTAGCCACACTCACTTCCAACTATCTGGTTATCACAACGATCGACTTATTTTTAATAAGGCTCAGAAACACCGTATTTTACATACAATAACTTA